GAGAGCAGCTCTGTGGAAAGGGACCTGGGAGTCCTGGTGGACAACAGGATGACCATGAGCCAGCAATGTGTCCTGGTGGCCAAGAAGGTGAATGGCATCCTGGGGTGCATCAAGAAGAGTGTGGCCAGCAGATCGAGGGAGGTCATCCTCCCCCTCTACTCTGCCCTGGTGAGGCCACATCTGGAGTACTGCATCCAGTTCTGGGCTCCCCAGTTCAAGAAGGACAGGGAACTGCTGGAGAGGGTCCAGCAAAGGGCAACAAAGATGATGAGGGGATTGGAACATCTCTCCTATGGAAAAAGGCTGAGGGACTTGGGTCTCTTTAGTCTAGAGAAAAGAAGATTGAGGGGGGATCTTATTAATACATACAAATACTTAATGGGAGGATGCCAGGGGGATGGGAGCAGTCTTTTTTCAGTGGTGCCCAGTGATAGGACGAGGGGTAATGGGCATAAACTTGAACATAGGAAGTTCCATCTTAACATGAGAAGGAACTTCTTTACTTTGAGGGTAGTGGAGCACTGGAACAGGCTGCCCAGAGAGGTGGTGGAGTCTCCCACTCTGGAGACATTCAAAACCCACCTGGACGCTGTCCTGTGCAATGTGCTGTAGGTGACCCTGCTCTGGCAGGGGGGTTGGACTAGATGATCTCCAGAGGTCCCTTCCAACCCTAACCATTCTGTGATTCTGTGATTCTTGGTGGCTCAGTGCCACAGGAGGTGGCATCCACCTGCTCCCCGCAGACCCCGGGACAGGAGGGTGCCGGCATCAGGGCACCCCTGGGAGCCCCATCCCTGGTCCTTGGGGTTTGCAGCAGCGCGGGGCTGTGCGGACGCACGGATGGGCTCTGTAGGGGTCTGGCATGTGCCTTTCTGTCGCCTGTTTAGGTCCGCGCAGGGGAGCCAAGAAATCTCTTAACTAAATAAACAGCTCTCTCGTCCCAGATGGCATCTGTTTATACGCCAGGTACAAACAGTCCCCACGGCTGTCCCGCTCGTAGCCAGGCCAGTTCTTTCCACAAAAAAAGCAGTCCCCGAGGGCCAGCAGTGCCGTACACCGGGACGGCAGAGCCGCGTTCTGCCCCGGCACGGACACCACAGGGCCCTGGGCTGGGGAAGACACGGCGGTCGGGAGGAGGACTCTGATTTTGGGGGTTCAGGGCACTGGGTGAAGCCACGAGGCATCTTTCTTCCTCCTTTCCTTGAAGTCCTAAAGTCCCACCGGGAAAGATGACGTTTGCTCTGTCACCCCCTCGCGTTGGTGCTTTCTCCTCCTGCTGCAGCCAGCCGGCATCGCTGTGCTCGAGCTGAGGACGCCCGGGTTAATCCCGCAGCTGTAGATCTGAGCCTGACCCGACCGCGGCGCCCAGCTAGCGGAGCCTCAGCACGTCACCCTCTGCTCACCCACGGACAGAAACCCCACGGCGCCGGCTGACACGCAGAGCCGAGCCGCGCTGCCGAAGCCAGGCACACAGGCAGAGCCGGGCCAGCCGCGAGGGGCAGGAGCTGCGTGCTCCCCAGCTGCAGAGTGGGGAGAAGGAGGTTTAAACTGCCAGACCCAGACCCAGACTTTACGGTAGGATCCTCTTCTGTACAGCAAACTTGGTCCCGATGCCAGGGGTTCATCTCTCCTCAGTTATCTGTTCATAGAATCATAGCATAGAATCACAGAATGGTTTGGGTTGGAAGGGACCTTGAAGACCATCCAGTGCCACCCCCTGCCCTGGGCAGGGCCACCTCCCACCAGCCCAGGTTGCTCCAAGCCCCGTCCAACCTGGCCTTGAACACCTCCAGGGATGGGGCAGCCACAGCTTCTCGGGGCAACCTGCCCCAGGGGCTCACCGCCCGCACAGTCAACAATTTCTTCCTCAGATCTCATCTAAATCTCCCCTCTTCCAGTTTAAAACCATTCCCGCTCATCCCATCGCTCCCCTCCCCAATCCAGAGTCCCCCCCAGCTCTCCTGGAGCCCCTTTAGGCACTGGAAGGGGCTCTGAGGTCTCCCCTTTTTGGCCTTCTCTTCTCCAGGCTGAACCCCCCCAACTCTCCCAGCCTGTCCTCCCAGCAGAGGGGCTCCAGCCCTCCCAGCATCTCCGTGCCCTCCTCTGGCCCCGCTCCAACAGCTCCGTGTCCTTCTGCTGGTGGGACCCCCCGAGCTGGAGGCAGCACTGCAGGGGGGTCTCCCCAGAGCAGAGCAGAGCGCAGCAGAGGGGCACAATCCCCCCTCGCCCTGCTGGCCATGTGCTGGGGATGCAGCCCGGGATGGGGTTGGCTTTCTGGGCTGCGAGAGGCTGTTCATAGCATTGGCTTATCTCCGTTGGGAGTGGAGGTGTCTCGTATCTGATGTTCAGGGAGGTGAATCCGGTGCCCTGCTCTTACTGCATTGCTGTAACAAAGACTTGGTCCTGTGCCTGCATCTCTCCAGGCACACAAGGAAGCAAATCTGGTGCAGTAGGAAAACCAACAGGCTGGAAGGCCGCGTGCACTGAGCTGCCATCAAAGGCTTTGGTTGCGGAGGCAGAACGTGTCAAAACGATGCCGATGGAAGACTCTTCCCAGCCCCATTGGCCATGGGTGAAGGCTGCAACGAGACGTTTGTTTTGTCCTGGAGCTACCGGTGCTGGTTGTGGTCAGCAGCAGTGCAGAGGAGAGGCTGTGCCAAGGGGGAGGTTCAGGTCCTTGACAAAAATACCAAAAAACTGTATGAAAGGGGGGTTTGACTGACAAGAGGGAAATGATCGAGGGAGGTGATTCTGCCCCTCTGCTCTACTCTGGTGAGACCCCACCTGGAGTACTGCCTCCAGCTCTGGTACCCCCAACATAGGAAAGACATGGACCTGTTGGAGCAGGTCCAGAGGAGGGCACAAGGATGCTGGGAGGGCTGGAGCCCCTCTGCTGGGAGGACAGGCTGGGAGAGTTGGGGGGGTTCAGCCTGGAGAAGAGAAGGCAAAAAAGGGGAGACCTCAGAGCCCCTTCCAGTGCCTAAAGCGGCTCCAGGAGAGCTGGAGAGGGACTTTTTACATGAGCATGGAGTGATGGGATGAGGGGGAATGGCTTCAAACTGGAAGAAGGGAGATTTAGATGAGATATTGTGAAGAAATTGTTGAGTGTGCGGGTGGTGAGCCCCTGGGGCAGGTTGCCCCGAGAAGCTGTGGCTGCCCCATCCCTGGAGGTGTTCAAGGCCAGGTTGGATGGGGCTTAGAGCAACCTGGGCTGGTGGGAGGTGTCCCTGCCCAGGGCAGGGGGGTTGGAACTTGATGATCTTCAAGGTCCATTCTATGATCAAATGACTCTAAAGCATGAAGGCAAAGAGGAAAATCCTTTGCTGCCAGTGGTCGTTTGTAAGAAAATAGCAGTGAAGCCTCGGGGTTGCCTCCCTCTGCGTGCGGGGAGGATGTAGTCGCTGCTTGAGGGTGAGCACTGGATAGTCGAAAGCAGGACTAAGCTCCTCCTGCATATCAAAGTCCCGCGAACACAACAGTGGCATCGCAGTAAGCATAGAAGCAGGGGCAAAAATTGCTTGCAATACAAAGAGGCAAAAACCAAAAGCAATGTTGGCCAGCCCGCTACGGAACGAGTGGGCATCTCAGCTGGATTGGAGATAAAAGAAGAAACTCAGGGCGTCCAGGGCACTCTGCTGTATGACTTCCTGGCACAGAGGAACAAGGAGATCCCGGGGGCAGGGAAGGGGGTGCCAGCTGCAGTGGCACTGCTTTTGCCCGACGCGTGCAGCAAAATCGGCATCCTTCCCCGAACCAACCGCAGGTAACCTCTTCCCTCCTGTGCCGCCTTTGGACACCGCAGGAGGATGTGCTGGGAGAACATCACGCAGTACAAAGCAATGAAACGCTCTGTCCACATTTCCTTGGTTTTCGGCAGGGAGCTAAAAAATACAAACTTACGTTAAGAGGAGGTCCGATTCGGAGAGCCATGGGTTGGGTGTGACTGCTGGATCGGCAGTGTCACCTCTGTCACCACCTATGGACGCTCCCCTCCTTGCACACGCGTCCAGACCAGCACGGGAAGCACGTTGGGCTCTGGACTGGAGAAAGCATCCAGCTGGGAACCATTTAGGAAAGCTGGGAAAGCGCCCGGGCATCCCTGGTTAAAAAGGTGATTAAAAAGAGGATAACAAAAGATGATTAAGAAGAGGATAACAAAAGGTAATTAAGAAGAGAATAACAAAAGGTGGTTAAGAAGAGCATTAACAAAAGGTGGTTAAGAAGAGAATAACTCTTAGGACTTATGATAGGAAGGGGTCCAACAGCACGTCTGCCAAGGGAGATGCGTCCTGCCGCTTGTTGGGTTATCATCGGTTGAAGGGGGCTGAAGGCGGGCGTCCCACCGACCGCTGGAGCCCTTTGGGAGGGGACTGGAGGCAGAAGGAGAGCAGAGGTGCCTTGGAGAGCTGCAGCGGGACCTCGGCACGGCTGGGTCCTGCAGGCTCTGCCTACATTTGGGGCCCTCGGATGCTGAACCCTCCCCTGAACCCGGGACCTCGGCTGGGTTAAACTTTCCTCTTCCAAAGCACAACCAACGGGGCGCAGTGTGAACCTGCAGTGGTAACCCACTCCGGGGAGATGGAGGAGACTCTGGCCCGTATTCAGGGGTGAACCGTCATGATTTGGAGCAGGTCGCTTAGGTAGAGTCCTGGCCGTGGGTCTGTCCCCTGCTGTGGCACGGACCAGTGCTGGCTGTCCTCGTGCTCCTCCACAGCACCTCCCCGCTGCCTCCTGGGGATGCTGCACGGTGCTCTCACCAGGTTTCTCTCATAAATGCCTGGCTTAGGGCAGCTCGTCCTCCGTAGGCGTAGTCTAAGACCTTCCTGAGACCTTCCGGCATCCTCCCGCACATCTTCCCCGGCTGCGGTGCTGCCCCGAGGGGCCCTGTGGCTGCTCCCGTGTGACAGAGGTGCAGAGTTGGTGACGATGAGACTGGGGTGGCGAGTGCGGAGGTCAGAGGCATCCGTCTCTGTAACGCCTTGGTGTTTTTCTCTTGGTAGGAAAGCCGATCGAGCGAGAAGAAGGGAGCCAAGAATGAAGAAGAAAAGGGAAAGGAAACTCCTTCCAAAGACGTGGCCCGAAAACAAGATACCAAAGCAGGGAAAGACTCTAAAAAGGAAGAAAGTGTTCAGAAAACAGACCCAAAAGTTAAAGCTGAGGCTGAGACCAAGACCAAAGAGGAGAAGGCTATTAATGACAAAGTCAAGGCCATGGAGAAAAAGCTGCTGGGGAAGGACAAAAAGGAGGAAGAGAAGGGCTCAGCGTTAAAGAAGGATGCAGGGAAGGATAAAAAGGAGGAAGAAAAGGGTTCAGCATTAAAGAAGGACACAGGGAAGGATAAAAAGGAGGAAGAAAAGGGCCCAGCAGTAAAGAAGGATGTGGGGAAGGATAAAAAGGAAGAAGAGAAGGGCTCAGCAGCAAAGAAGGAGACAGGGAAGGACAAAAAGGAAGAAGAAAAGGGTTCTGCATTGAAGAAGGGCACAGGGAAGGATAAAAAGGAGGAAGAGAAGAGTTCAGGATTGAAGAAAGAGGCAGAAAAAGACACAAAGGCAGACGATAAGAAAGAAAAAGACAAAAAAGAAGAGGAAAAGAGTTCGGCTTTGAAAAAATCAAAGGCAGATGAGAAGGAGAAATCCCAGCCAGAGGCAGAAAAGGCAGCGGAGGAGAAGCAGGAGGCCAAGGCGGCGGCCGAGAGCAGCCCCGCCAAGCCCACCACCGGCAGCTCCCCGGATCAGGCCAAGGATGACGAAGCCTCCAGCATTTTCGATGAGCTCATCGAGAAGGTGAAGAACAACGACGCCGAGGTCACCGAAGTGAACGTGAACAACTCGGACTGCATCAACAACGAGACCCTGGTGCGCTTCACCGAGGCCCTGGAGTTCAACACCGTGGTCAAGCTGTTCGCCTTGGCCAACACCCGTGCCGACGACCACGTGGCCTTCGCCATCGCCATCATGCTGAAATCCAACAAGGTGCTGACGAGCATCAACCTGGACTCCAACCACATCACGGGCAAGGGCATCCTGGCCATTTTCCGGGCGCTGCTGCAGAACAACACGCTGACGGAGCTGCGTTTCCACAACCAGCGGCACATCTGCGGGGGGAAGACGGAGATGGAGATCGCCAAGCTCCTGAAGGAAAACACCACGCTCCTGAAGCTGGGCTACCACTTCGAGCTGGCCGGACCACGCATGACAGTCACCAACCTGCTGAGCCGAAACATGGACAAACAGAGGCAGAAACGCCTCCAGGAGCAGAAACTGGCACAGGAGCGCGGGGAGAAGAAAGACCTCCTGGAGGTGCCCAAGGCCGGCGCCCTGCCAAAGGGTTCCCCCAAGCCATCCCCGCAGCCATCCCCCAAGGCTTCCCCCAAAAGCTCTCCCAAGAAAGGGGGGGCGCCCGCCGCGCCGCCCCCACCTCCTCCTCCACTCGCCCCACCACTGATCAACGAGAACCTGAGGAACTCGCTCTCGCCGGCCACGCAGAGGAAGTTGGGAGACCGGGCGCTGCCGGTCCAGGAGAAGAACTCACGGGACCAGCTCCTGGCGGCCATCCGCTCCAGCAACCTCAAACAGCTCAAGAAGGCAAGTGCAGGGCCACGGTGGGGTCCTCCATGGGGTTGGTCTGTGGGCTGAGATCTGAGGCCACGTCTGCTGTCACTTGGGTAGAGGAGAGGTGAGGGCTGTCCCTCAGTGCAGGGTATGGTGCGGGGTGTCCGTGGTGCCAACCCCCGTGCAGAGCATGCGGCAGGGGCAGAGCTGTCCCTTGGCTGAGCACGTGGGGTGGGCATGTCCATCCTTTGGCACCATCCCTTCCAGAGTAGGTGGGGTTAGCAGATCCATCCCCTGGCAGAGCATCCAAGAGGAGAAGATCCATCCCTTGGCAGAGAGCATGAAATGGCCAGATCCATCCCTTGGCAGAGCTCCTGGGGTGGGCAGGTCCACCTCACGCCAACAATCGTGTTTGGCTCCAGGGTTTGGGACACAAGGAAGAAGCCAGCTTTAACCTGCAACCCCAGGAGATGGAAATCCAGGACCTCCGCACGCGGAGGAGGAGCAGTGCTTAGCGGCAGCAAGGGAGGCTCACGCGTGCCCACAGAATCGCAGACTGGTGGGGGTTGGAAGGGCCCTCTGGAGCTCCCCCATCCCACCCCCCGCCAGAGCAGGGGCACCTCCAGCAGTGGCACAGGACA